GGAGCCCTGGCCCAGGCTGCCCAGGGAGGCTGGGGAGTCTCCTTCTCTGGAGATATTCCAGCCCCGCCTGGCCGCGGTGCTGTGCAGCCTGCTCTGGGTGACCCTGCTTGGGCAGGGGGTTGGGCTGGGGGACCCACAGAGATCCCTTCCAACCCCTGCCATGCTGGGATTCTCCTGAACACCTCTGTGTGTGTTCGCCACCCAGGGAGGCATCCCACCTCTCCCAAAAGGACCCGCGGAAGGCCCGCTGCCTCTCCCTGGATGTGTAAAGGAGACTTCAGGCAGCTGGCACACTGGGTACTCCAGGGCATGTTTGGAGGGGGGCATTAAACGTGCTCGTTAGCCCCGGGCAAGGTGCCAGCGCAGCCTTCACCGTCCAGAGGTGTGAGTACTCATGTGCTTTGGATTTGATGACACCTCCATGTCAACTGTGCTTTCTCCACAGCTCACCCCAGCAGAGAAGGGCGGACTCTCGGATTTCAGCAGCGAGCCTGCTCTGTATTTTTGATCGCTTCACTCTCTGGCCTGCAGCAGCGGCTGCTGGACGCGGCGCGTCAGTGCACCTTCCCGACGTCCAGGCAAGCACCACGGAAATAAGCTTCTGGGTCCCTCCCTCACCACTGTTTTTGTTGGATCCTGATGCCAAGGGTGGACTAGATGCTATCGGGCATCTTCAGAGAATATTTGCACTGGATTCTGGGACCTAACTACTGCTGTTAAGGCGTATGATTTATTCTACCTGTGGCCTTGCCTATTCCTTGTTCGAGATCAGCTGCCGATTAGGCAAGCATCTTAGAACAGATCTGTGATCCCGGGGTGGATACAGAGTCTCTCGGTGCTTGTCCGAGTCTGCACGTCCAGGCACCGTCTGGGGTCTGGACAGCTTTTGTAACACTTGTCCCATCAGAGGCCCCGGTGAAGAACGGTTCTGGAGTTGGAGCACCGGAACTGAGCTGGATTCATGGAAGTTGTTGTGATGTGACAGCTAGATTGGGTGTCAGTTCGGAAAACCACGGAAGGTTCAGGGTTTGTTCTCAGCATGTTTCTGGGTCTGAACCATCACGGAATTAATGTGCCAGTTATGTTCTTGTGAAGGAAGCCGAATGCACCGTGTGAGGGATGGAAGGGGGAACAAATGGAGCTTTAGGCGTCATTTTTGCACTGATCTGTAAAGAAGTGTCCAGACTGGTTTAAGCCTCTTGCAGATTCCCAGACATTGGCCATAGCTTTGATCTGTCCATTCCCAACGCTGGTGTCCAGTCTCCAGTAACTGCTGATTGTGCCTCAGTTTCCCAGCTCCTCTTGTTGCGTTGTTCCAGCATCCAACAGGGGCCAGGCCCAAGATTTATCTGGCTTGGTTGGCGGCGAGGCTTCCTTCTAGCCATGCTTGCTCTGCTCCTCTAGTGCAAAGCACAGGAGGGCAATTTCACTCCTTTCTTCTGCAGAACTTGAACAAGGAATATGTTTTTTTTTCTAGGATTTTTATAGTTTATTATTGTAATTGTTTAATGCAGCCAATACGCAAAGGAATCTGCTAGACTCTTCCATTTAAGTTTTCTACCACTGTAAACTCAGGGTCAAAATTGCACTCTGGAAAAGGCAGAGCACTGCTGCTAATGTGATTTGTACTTCTGGGATGAAACGAGATGCGGTTGGGATAGATACGGCCTCTTTGGGCTTCATGAAATGAGTGGTACCCCAGCGTGTGGCTCTATCCAAAGGAACTGGCTGGTATCTTTGATTAAATTTGATACTTTTATTGGTTTGTCTGTTATGTAAAGATGGTGAATGTCTGCTCAAGGTGACACTGGTCTATGAACTGCAAATGCCCTGCATACCTTGCACTTGTTCTGGTGTATATTGTAGCAGCAGGAGGAAGGTTGTTCTGCTGAAAAATACGGTCAGGACTAAATGTTAGGGCATACTTACTTGTAGCTGTTCTCTCCTTCTGCCCTGGGTGCCTAAGTATTTCTGGAAAGATAACGCAAAAATAATGAGATACTCACCAGTTTGTTAGGCGTTGGCTGGAGGGGCCACAAAGGAACACTTTCCACCTCCTTGTCCTTCTGAGGCTTGTCCTTTCCAAGCTAACTCGAGATCTGCTCCCCCCCGTGACCTCCCAGGATCATCTGCCCGTGACATGACCCCAGTACTGTGGAAGCAGCAGTGAATCCCATGTGCTGTGCTAAGGCTTCTCCCATTAACGAAATACTTCAGGACAAGATGCTGAGACTGGGGTGGAATGAGGAAAAATGCAGGACCACTAGTGACGGCTAGATTTAAGGGATGAGCAGGTTATCAGATTTGCAGAGTTAAACGCCAGTGGCTGTGCACGCAGCCAAAGGAGATCAAGGACTGTGTTTGCAGGGAAGATTATGCACAGCTTTTCTAGCAGCAAAGCTCCTAGTGAGCGTCTTGCACTCTGGAACAGCTCAGGCCCGTTTAAGGCATGCCTCTAGATTGGCAACTTAAGACTGCAGGCAGTAAAGCAAAAGCTGCTTGCAGTTAAAGTTGGGGACAAGGTGTCCAAACTAACCCTGACTTGGTTCTGCTGCGGATCAATGAGGAATGCGAAAGCCAACAGCGCCCTGCAACGTGTCCCGCTGACTTCAGCCCACTGACACGCTGCCCTGGTGCTCTGCGTGCTGTTCCTGCTG